ATTTTAATACTCTCTCATACATAAAAATAGACTATAGGCGAAGTCATAGTTAATTTGAAATGCAATCAGTAATAATTAAAAATGCCTACGTTTTCCATGGAAGGAAATGAAGGAGCGAAATAAAAAAAAAAACGATTTATTGAATAATATAATAATTACTTCTAAGATCGGAGACAAAGAAATTAGTACGAAGGCGTATTTATTACAAATAGTTTAGTGACACTACAATATTTTTATATATGCAATCGCCTACCAAGAAAATACATGCAGATCAAAATTATGTAGTTGAACATCAAAACTTTCAATTACATTCATTATAAAATAAGTATTAATTATTATTATATGGAAAAAATTGAAGAACTATAATTCTATATAGCAAATAAACACTGCTCAACATTTGAAATGGATATATTCTAAATTTTAAAGTGTAAATATTTAAAATAAAAAACTGCTAGGAAATTTATTCAAATTATGCAATAATTTTATGATGTAACTAAAGACTGAATAGAAAAAAATAAGTAATTTAAACATAAGGTAGGAGTGGAAAAAGTAACAACTCATAAAATTCTGTTATTGAAAAATTTACATCGTTACAAAATAATATCATGTTAGCACCACATCAGCTTGTCTTTTTTAATAGTTTTACTTTATTTGGAAGACTCATGAAATTATTAATAAAACTATATTTTTTTAATTTGAGCTGTATTTATCCACCTCAAAGTTTTAACTAGGAAGTTTTTCGAAACTAATTTTCTATCCAAGCACTCAAATAACAATGAAATTGTAATGCCAATCTCTATTAATTATAAAAACATTTATAATCCTATTGATTGTCCGTAAGTTCCTGAATTATTTGTTTTTAGTTTCTCGATTAAATTCGCTCGAGTCTGAAAGCTTTTCGTTGTCAATTATTGAAAGCGCCAATTTCACAGTGAAATTACATGTCCCAAATGCTCCGGTCCTCACGAAAAAAATGCTTGTACATCTGAATCGTTGTGTTGTAACAATTGTAAATTATTTAATTCTAGGTTTAAGTTAAACGTTAGCACTGATCATTCCACAAACAGCCCTAACTGTAGTTACTTATTAAACAGAATAGATAATCTTAAATCTAGGACTGACTATGGCTAGTTTTGTAAATAAAAAGTTAAAGTTAGTACATTTTAATACGCGTTCTTTATTCCCTAAGTTTGATATGTTTGTTGATATAGTTACATTAAATAAAATTGACATAGTGTGCATGACAGAAACGTGGTTAGTTTATGATATTCCAGATCATGCTATTTATATACCTGGGTACAAGATATTTCGAAATGATCGTGGCTCGCGAGGAGGGGGTTTAGGATTTTTTGTCCGTGATACATTAAAAACTTCAGTAACCATCGGTGATTTCAATCCAGTACAGGGCATTGAGCATCTTTGGATAACCGTAGAAATTGGAAGGTCATCGGTTTTGATTGGAGTTATTTACCGAACGGAAACTTGCAATATTACAAACTTTATTGGATATTTTGATAATATTTTATCATATATATTACCTCAGTCTGATCATATTATTATTACGGGCGATATAAACATAAACCAGTTGGTTGATAACCAAATAAATCATTTCATGGAATCTTATAATTTTTCACAGTTAATATCAGAGCCCACTCGTATAACTACGACTTCTCAGACACTATTAGATGTAATTTTCACAAATAGGACAGATTTAGTTTTAAATTCAGGAGTCATTGATCATCAATTATCAGATCATCGTGCTGTTTACTGCGACATTGACTTAAACGTTAGTTATAAGATTCCCATATTAAAAACGTATAGATGTTATAACTATTTCTCAATCAACGCTTTCAACGCAGACCTAGTGAGTGCGCCGTGGCTAAATATTATTTATGAAAATAATATTGAAAAGAAAATACAGATTTTTAACAACCTAATCACAATATTATTTGACAACCATGCTCCTTATGTAGAAGCCAAAATTACTAAACCGTATGCTCATTGGTTGACACCTACAATCCGTGACATGATGAAAACACGAGATAAAGCACTTTCTAAATATAAAAGATCCCAAAATATATTAGACTTCATTCATTACAAAGAAATGCGGAATATCGTTACTAGTGCAATTAGGAAAGAAAAATCAGCTTATTTAAATTATCGTGCAAGCATGCAAAACAAAAAAGACCTTTGGAAAGCAATGAAATCCTTGAATATTTCAAATAAAACTACATTCCATATTCCTGATGGCTTAAGTGACCCTACTGATATAAACAAGTATTTTACGTCGGTATTCAGTCAGAGAAATTGTTGTCCTTACGCTACATCTTATTATAACTCAAATCTATTTAATCCTGGTATTAATTTATCTTTTAAACTTGCAACAGTAAATGAAATTAGGTCAATAGTTTTGGAATTAAAATCAAACGCATTAGGAATTGATAACATCTCAGCAAAAATGTTACAACTTTCTATTTCAGTCTGTGCTCCTTACATAACGCACATTGTAAATTGCTGTTTAGAAGTTGGTTACTTTCCTGATAGCTGGAAGTATTCCTTAATCAAGCCTTTGCCAAAATCAAATAAGCCTGAAACATTTAGCGACCTTCGGCCCATAAGTATTTTACCGACGTTGTCCAAAATTATAGAAAAAGTAATTAGTAAACAAATATATACATACGTATTTTCTCATAATATTGTAACCACTAAACAATCAGGTTTTCGAAAGGGGTTTAGTACTACAACATTACTCTTAGATTTAACAGATAACATTATAAGATCAATGGATGAAGGAAAAGCTACAATAGTTACTCTGCTTGACTTTTCTAAAGCGTTTGACACTATAGATCATCAGCTTCTTTGTGCCAAACTCAAATATTTTGGTTTCGATGAAACCTCACTAAGATTTTTCAAATTTTATTTAAGTAACCGCTACCAAAAAGTAACGTTAGAGAAATCATCTAACTTTATGTGTGTAACATCAGGAGTACCCCAAGGCTCGGTTCTTGGTCCCCTTTTGTTTTCCATATATATTTCAGACCTTTATAAATTATTGGAGCATGTAAATATACACTCTTTTGCTAACGACACGCAACTATATTATTCCTTTGACCCATGTGAAGTAGATATAGCTTCGCAAAACATGAATTCAGATTTAAATGCAGTATATACATTTTCTATGAATCATAACCTTAAACTAAATGCCAGTAAATGTCATACAATATTATTTTGTCCTAAAAATATAGAACATAATGTACAACAGAACCTTAAGCTATTCATTCAAAATGAACCTCTAAAATCTTGTAGAAGTGCCAAAAACTTAGGCATTATTTATGACTGCAAATTAAGGTTTCAGGACTATGTTTCGCTCCTAGTCAAAAAATCGTATCTGGTTATTCGTCAATTATACAGGAATCGAGGTATTTTGAGTTTCAAATTACGTAAGTTGCTTTGTGAAAGTCTTGTATTGTCCATCCTAAATTATGGACTTTTAATTTACTATCCTTGTTTGGATCAAATAACCAAATACAGACTTCAAAAGATTCAAAATTGTTGTTGTCGTTTTGTATTTGGTATCAGAAAGTATGATAGAATATCAAATAAAATTAAAGAACTTAGCTGGCTCAATATAGGAAATTTATTTAAATATCAGATGGCGGCCACGGTATTTCAAATTCTTTTAACCTCAACTCCCATATACTTAAAAAATAAATTGATATATCGGAAAGATCTGCACAGTTTACATTTAAGATATCCACACAACTTAACGATTCCGAATTACCGATTATCATTTTTCAAAAGATCTTTCACATATAACGCCATTTCAATATATAACAGTCTACCTAGGGAAATTAGGACATGTTCTTTGACATTTTTGAAACAAAATTATAAAACGTTGCTATTAGTTGAGCAATGAATACAGTGCTAACGTTAATATATTATTAATTTCAAACATTTTTCCTTATTTAATTGTATTTTAAGTTCCATTGATTTCAGTTTAGATTAAATACAGGGTTAACATTTTTAATCATAAATTAATTGTATATTAAATTTCTTATTTTTTTTTATATTGTAAATGATGGATACCTTTTGATTATTTTAAATTTATATTTATGTTGAGGTTAAGTTGAGTAGCGCAAGCTAGACTTCGCCTCATGATGTTTATGTGCATTGTATATTACAAGCAAATAAAGGCAATTTATTATTAATATTATTATTATGTGATTTATTTTTTGAAATGCTTTCATTTATTTAAAAATATATCAAAACATACTAAAACTATTAACGATTAAAATTATTTAATAATTTAAATATTTGTTTAGTAGATTTTTCATCTTCTTTTTATTAAAAAATGTTTTTGCACTGCACTTTGTGAGACAGAAAGGATATTTTCTACCACCTTCCTACTCACATATCTTCAAATTTTAATATTATTATTATTTGAAAATGTACCTACCTTAACATTAAATTTGTTAATTTTACCTATTTAATTTATTTTTCAAGGTTATTATTAATTAGATTTTATATTTATTTATTGTATGTATAGGTAAGTAGCTATAAGGCCCTTAGCTTAAATGTTATAGTGAATTGACTCTAAAAATAGTACATTATATACCTAGGGTAAATAATAGCTTTCTCAGAATTTTTTTACTACTAACATTAATATATTAGCAATTTTAATTTTGACATAAGTAATTTCCTAACAATTTGTTAAATATTTCGAAATATCAAGCAGAGTGGAGCGTGTTTCTAATCAGACTGGCTTTATTTATGTAAAAATTTGGCATGTGTCAAATTTTGATATGATTCTAGGAAATATCCCATTGCATTTTTGATATTTTAGTGACATGGATTTATTGGTATTAATTAATAATTTTTGTAACCTATTGCCTGTGTTGAATTTCCTAGTTAATATATATTTTTGTGCTTTTGGTTAAAATTACGTTAACAAGTGTTTCTGTTAATTTCGTTAAGAATATAGAATTTTTCTCATTATTTACCTAGGTGTTTTTTTATTACTTCTCGTTAGGGGAATGGAGTGAATAATAGCAATTTCTCAGGTTAGTAGTAAAAAAAATCTATTTTCCTTCGCTTGTCCTTGATATAATTACGAGGATATATCAGTATATAACGAGACTGGTGCTATAACTTCTTTCAGAGGTAACATTTTATAACCCAAAAAATGAGACATGAAAGCCTTATATTTAATGTACTACCCCGCAAGTAGGCTTTGATTTAACTTTTGACATTTGTTACAAATTAATTATTGAATTGTCAGTGTTTTGCGTACCCATCGAAAAATGAAAGTGGAGCAAAGATACGCGATAAAATTTTGTGTTCGATTGGGTAAAACACCAACTGAAACTTTTGAAATTATTAAAGGTGCATATCTAGATAATAGTTTATCACGATGTAGAGTGTTTGAGTGGCTTAAAAAGTTTAAAGACGGTTGTGAATCAGTCGAAGATAAACCTCGTCCCGGTCGACCACAAACTGCGAGAAATGACACAAAAATTGCAGAAATTAACGACTTGATACAAAATGATCGCCAGATTGACATAAAATGAATTTCTGACAATGTTAATTTGTCTTACGGTACCACTCAAAA